TTTACACTCCTTGGTACACTCTCCTATGAAGAAAGACTGCAAGAGCGGGGCCTGTTCAGCCTGGAGAAGAGAAGGCTCAGAGGGGATCTGATCAATGTGTACAAGTATCTGAAGGGGGAGTGTCGGGAGGATGAGGCCAGACTCTTCTCCGTGGTGCCCAGCGACAGGACAAGAGGCAATGGGCACAAACTGAACCACAGGAAGTTCCATCTAAACCTGAGAAAAAACCTCTTCACTGTGAGGGTGACAGAGCCCTGGAACAGGTTGCCCAGAGAGGTGGTGGAGTCTCCTTCCCTGGAGACATTCCAAACCCGTCTGGATGTGATCCTGGGCAATATGCTCTAGAGGACCCTGCTTGAGCAGGGAGGTTGGACTAGATGATCTCCAGAGGTCCCTTCCAACCTCAACCATTCTGTGATTTTGTGAAATCAGCACAAAGTAGCTGAATGTGTACATATGATCTAAGCAGCAAAACCTGGATGCATTTGTTAGATTCCTGTTTGCTTTGGCATTGTCTAATAGTTTTCAGAAAGTTCCCTAACAGATCATTAACTTTTGGGGAAGTTTCAAAGGACTAAAGAAACAGCTTTACTTATAACTAGTATTTAAAAATGCTAAATGGGGTTACCCTTTTAACTTCAGGGTGAAAAGTCTAACTTTCGTCCTAGGCAAAGCAAAAGAATAATTGAAGATGAGCTTGCATGTCTGAAAGCTTCTCTCTTTTTTTTTCTCCGACTATAAGTTGAAATCACAAATGCAACTGATTAAAGAAGTAGTGCAGACATGCTCCTTTGTTTTATATATACAAAATACTTCTCTGTAAAGTGTAACTGATCACATTTTCATTCTTGTATTGAAAGTATCAAAAAGCAGTGGAAATTTGAGGATTTCTACTCTACACTTTCCAGTCTAAGGAAAGGAACCGCAAAGATGAAGGCTTATCTTCCTTAATGATGGGCTTTTGTAATGAGACATGGGATAATTTCTTCACTTTATGTGAAAATACTCACATGGAAACTTACTTAAACCTCAAAAAACTTGGAAGATAACTGTTTATCCACAGTAATGTATCATTAATATCAAGGCAGACAAGAGCTTTGTTCTTGATAAAGGACACCCCTAATCCGTAACTACCTTAGAATATCTAGTGGGAAATGACGAATTGTTGCTGTAGCCTCTCTTCGGATGACTTAGTGTATTTAGGAAATCTTTAATTCAGGCTAAAAAAAAAAAAAAGTAGTAGTAAATAAATAGATACTTTTAAGCTAGCCTCTGTTTAATGTAAATACAGGTACTATGTTGTAACTGATAGTGCCATATCATTTCACCAGCAAAAAAGACTAGAATGTCTCCAGTTTCAAAAAAAATGCTCTCAGAAATTAAGATCACTGAATTTACTTTTTTTCCGCATATCTATCCCAAATACATAAATTTAAGTTTAGTTCCAGTTGGATTAACGTGTTCCACTACTCACTCATCTGCAAAATCTATGAGGTTTTTAATGTAGTAAAGTCAAAGAGTGTAGTTAACTCCACTGAAAACTAGGTTGGCAATTTTTAAAATATACACCTTATTCTTAATATGTTAAAATCATTTTGAAAAATAAAATAATCAATCTCTTTGATCTTGGAACGAGGGAAGTATTATTAGGAAGTAGAATATATTTTAGTGGTCTCCAACATGATACTGAAAAACCTGACATTATCTCTTGGAGTCGGTTTTATGTGGTAACTTCTTCATGGCTGGATTTCACTGAACATGAAACCCTAAAACAGCAACCAAAGGAAGTGCTTTTTAGCTGTATACGTTTGACCTCAGAACTGAAGTTTAGGGTATGAATATGGGTACTAGAGAAGGATGTGTGAGTTTTCTTTAGCATGTTGATTTGCTATAACACTTTAAGGTTTCTTACTGCCGTTACAGAAACCACTGTTGCTATATCTTTTACTTTTCCTTATAATCTGTAGATAAGAAGTTAAGGAGTAATACATGGAGAAAATTATTCTTCAGCACGTTTATTTTGTCCAGTATTCCAGATCTTCAGAATCATCATTCTGAGTGCAGCAGGTTAGGTAGGGGTAGGTAACAGCACACTTTCTGTGCATTGAATAATTTCTGCCTGGCTGACTACTAAAAGCCAATAAAATGGGGAGGGGGGGAAGCATGATTATTTTAGTTGTGTCCCTGAAATACGGATCAGAGAGTTTGCATTCATTGCCATTGAATGAGTCACTGAAAGAATGAAGAGAGCAGTAAAGGGTATCTCAACTTCATGTAAAGTGTTTGTGTATGTTAAGTAAAATTCATGGGGAAAAAAATGTTAGGTAAAGATTTTCTCAGTGGAAAATGAGTTTTTGCAATACAGGCAGAAGGAAATCAGAATAAACTGTAGGTAGATAAATCCTTTCAGTATTTCAGTCAGGGAAAAGGAGATGGAAAAGATAGAACCTCCAAGTATCGACTTAGTGTAAAAGTTTGTAGATTTGGGGGAAAAGTTTTTGGTGGGACCAGAACGTACTTTGAGTGCAGTGCCTTTCATTTAACCTATAAATTGTGTCTCTTGCCCATCAATAAATGTTATAATGTTATAATTTCTGTGAGTGTTTATTTCACTCCCTTGTAACTTTACATATCCCTGCATGAGACAGTCAGGATTTTCTTATTTTCACTAGTGATAGTTATAAAGATTTTTTTATGCTGGTTTGTTTAAGACGACAGTAGACATAGAACAAAATTGTTTACAATTTTTATTTGTTTGTTTGTTTTTTAGCATCTTTCAGCAACTTCTTTTAAAGATGCAAAATAGTAAAAAAAACTCAGTGTCTGAAATATGAAGGCTTCTTAGATACAACTCTTAGCTTCTTTATCTTTTTTCTTCATATTAAAGGAAAATCTGAAAGGAGATTGTACCTGAACAAATTTAGCACCATCTCTATGACAACCAGCTAATTAATTGCTGTCGGTCTGGCTTTGGTCCTCTTCAGTGAACTGATACTCCCTAGCTTTATTTCACATATCTTCTGGGCTTTCGATGAAGGTCATTTATATAGCTACAGTTCTTGGTCACAAGAAGCTGTCTTTTAACACAGGCAACTACTTTCTTTAAAAACAGCTCAATCTTACCTGTGTTTTTCTCTTACAGTTTTGCTTCCTGCCCAGTGATACGGAGTTTCTGAGGGTTATTTTTTCTTGATTTTCCTGATGTTTCCCTTTTTTTTTTTTTTTCCTTTTGGGCGTATGTGTTCGTTACGTATATGATAACTGTGACCACCACATTGCAATAAGATATTCCCAAGCTGAGTCTGACTTTAACTAGCATGGTAACTAGGAGAAATCCATCTGCAGCATTATGGACCTTAGTGTGGGCTAAGAGCTCAAGTAGTTACTTTACTTCCTGGGACAAATTTTGCGAGCGGTGTTGGACCATGTGCTTCTGTCATGGCATTGCTGTGGGTATCCGTGCTTGCTAGTGTCAAGTCAGCGCTAAGGCTACCCTACTGTGCAGTCAGAAGTTCTACAGCGCTAGAGGTACTTTGAGTCAACCAAGATACTTGCCAAGCTTACTCCATCAATTTTAATATAATAACTGTGTTTGGGAGGCTTGGTGATTTTATTACTATTGTAATAGTTGCAAGCTTTCCTTTACAGTAATGGTATCCAGCCTGTGAATTGTAAGAACATAACATTGGTGCTTGATCAATTGAGAGGTCCATGTAGCTCAATATCCTGCCTCATAGTGGGCTGTTATAGCAGGTACTTAAGGGTGTAGGGACAGGGAAAGGATGTGATGAGGCAGAGTCACATCCCAGAACCCCATTCCAGGGAATGTTCGCTGCAGATGATTTTCTCAACTTTCGACAATTCGTAGCCAAAAGAATTCATGTTTTGCAAGCAGTAAAAACAAGAGTGGAAGCTGAAGCTAAGAAGTAGTCTCTATTCTGAAGATTTCTTTCATTTTTAGGTTTTAATTTTCTTTCTTGACTGTTCAAGTAGTGAACAGAGTATATGTTCTCACAAATTAAATATACTGTATATTTATTTTGTGCTTACTATGTGTGGACACTGAAAGCAGGTGAATATAGCTTTCACTCCTGCAATTTTCTTTTCATGGGATGATGTTTAGTTCTGGTGTTTCTTTTCCTAACATATCATGTGGACATGTTAATTGTTTGAGGTTGTTTGATGTATTTACTGTTTGTGTACCTTTTTTTGTTGTTGACAGTTTGTTGCATGCCTCCTCAATTATTTAATGTAATTTAGTAATTCTTATGACAGATGAAATCAAGTGTAGGTATAAACTCTACTGAAGCTTGAAGTAATGCATAAAAAGGATTATCGAGACATTTGTGTGGAAAAGCAATAAAAAAAAGACAATTCAATTGAATATTTCATATATTGTTGAAAGTACAGAAATACATGTAACATGCTGTTATGCTGTTTTTAAGGTGTGCATAATACCATAAAAAAAGCAAAAGTGTTGTGCTGTGGCAACTCCCTTGTTTTTCTTCACAACCATTAAGCCAACAAAACAGATTTGAAAAGGCAAGATGCACGGGGAGGGGCTGGAAATCATTTTAGATAGTTTTGTTCATTAGCTGGAACTTTGTTTCTCTTACGGGCGTGCTGGAGAGGGTTATGACTGAAGATAAAAATGTTGATGTTGTACTTAATACATTGTAGACTGGAGAAATGCATATAAGTGGACGTTTAGTATTGGGAGTAGCATGTGGTCAAGAGTGATGAAAGAAAACTTGCACCAAAGCTGATACTGAGCTGGAGACAAGTTAGGCTGAACTTTGTTCCATTAAGGGAGCCTGAAGATGAGACACACGGTCCCTCTGGTGTCAGATAACATCTACTGGAATCATTGTATTTCATATACTTCTTATTTCACATTGTGATATATTTCTAGTTAGAATGACATAATAATTTTTTTCTTTTTTCTTTCCTTTTTTTTCTTTGTTAATATGTGACATCCTGCTGATCTGGTACGTATGAAGATTGCTGTGTTCACTGTATCCTGGCTTGCTTGTTCTGTGAATTTCTCACCCTCTGTAATATTGTTCTGGGACAAGCATCCTGTGGCATCTGCACATCGGAGGCCTGCTGCTGTTGCTGCGGAGATGAGATGGGGGATGACTGTAACTGCCCATGTGATATGGACTGTGGCATAATGGACGCATGTTGTGAATCTTCAGATTGTTTGGAGATCTGCATGGAATGCTGTGGGATTTGCTTCCCATCATGAAATATTTATCCCATTTTATTTTATTCTGTTAAAAACTGGAGAGCTTTTCTTTAAATCCATCTGAAGAAAGATAAGATAATATTCTCACACAACCAACTGGTATTGCACTGTTAGTTCCTATATATAATTTTTTTTTTTTTATTAAGCAATCCCTGAAACCGGTATTCTAACACAATTTGTATAGTTTTGTATGTGAAACTCAGGCTACGTTCCAGCTTCCTTTTGGCTTTGGAAATGGGAGAATTTACTGGAACTGAATTATAGGCCTGATACTGCAGGTTGTACAAAGGCAAAATTGCCATTTGAATTTAGTGACAGGTTTTGGTCAGAGAAAAGACTGCAGGTCAAAGCCTTAAGTGTTTGCCTTTACCTACTTTAATGGTTAAGCGTTTGAGTGCCTCCATACATAACATACCCTTAGAGGAGTTCTTGCAAGCAAAATGTCTTTATTTTAATCTCTGTAGCTTGAATGTAACCTTGTTCTTTAATTTTAAACTTAATTTAAAAGTCTGCAGCAGGAATCTACAGCTGGTTTTGCTACAGAAATTACATCAGAAATTTTTCTTTTATTTCCTGTTTCCCATAATTTTGAGAGAGGTTCCTGGTATTTTCCATGGTTTATAACTGATAGTGGGTGCAGATTTGGCTAACTAAAGGCAATCTGAGTTTTGCCGCCTATTACCAAGGCTTCACTGAGACAAGGCAGAATAGAGAACTTACATTTTGCCTCAGTATTACTTGAAATGTTTATTTTTATGAAGAGACTTTAGAAGTCTGGGTGGACATAAAATACATCCTTGCATTTGGACTACCAAATCCTTCAAAATTTGGCTATAAAAGGGAAATTATCAAAAATTAACTCAAGATTCTAAGCCTGTGTATTAGTACCCTGTCCATTTTTTGTGGCTTTGCAACCACTGTCACCTAACTTAATATTTTGTTCTTTACCATGTGAGAAAGATCCATAGAGGATATAAACAGGATATAACGACCACATTAAATTAACTAGTCAAGGAATTCTGTCATCAAATGCAGAGAGTAAATGTAAAAATGTTTATTCAAAAGCACTTCTTTTAGGTGCTGTTTTTAAATAATTCTTTTTAAAAGGATTCAGTCGGCAATTTTTTCCCTATGATACCATTACAGATTTTCTCAGAAAGCTTTTTTTTTGTCATTGTAATTGGAAGATGGATTTGGTCCAACACACAGAGATTTATGGCATTCCCAGATTTAGGGAAAAATGGTACCCACTTTCTTTACCATTTTCTAATTTCTCCCCTCCATCTCTGTAGCTCATTAACTTTCCTGTGTAAAACACCTGTATGCCGTGATCTCACATAAACTTAAGCTTTGCTATCTACACTCCAGATTTCCTATTTATAGGTAGTTGGATCTAGTAAATGTAGGCCTTGTTACAAGACTCATTGATAGCTAACGTGATGTCCCTATTAAGTGAATTGACTGTAAAGGTCTCTTTCCACTGTAGTGAATTCAGTTTATATAAATGTGACAAACTAAAGATCACAGGAATGTGAAGCTAAGTCAACATATTGTCTGTTATTAACCAAAAGCTTCTTCCTACGAACACTGACTAGTAGTGCTAACTACTGCAAGTTACCACTGAAGGTAAAATAGCTGTATCCTCGACTATGCTAGGGAGCTGGGAGGTGGTACATTTTGCATTAGCATCTGCAGTATTGTGGTATACTCTAATGCGATGCAGATTTACTCAGAGGGCGTCTTGTCTGTTTTTTTTATGGTTACTACAAGACATGATTCTTATCATGTCCCCCCC